ACATTGAAACAATGGCATGTCTAGATGGTCTTTGGCTACATGTCGAAGGAAGTTTGAGGTTGGCTTGAACTCTTTGAGGCATAACTGAAAAAGGCGAAGTTAATATGAAAACTCTAACCGGAGGAATTTGGAACACATATTAAAAAACTAAAAATCTAAGAATGATAGTAGCCCATTTACCCTGCAAGTCCACTCGCTAACGCGCTTCATAGGTTGGCCAACATGGTCTTTTTCAGATACACTTCCATCTGGAGAGTCGCAACAGGTTGATTCCTCCTGAGACCACATTACTTAAAACGCTTTTACAACTATCTCTTGCTACTCACAGCGTCATTTCCCATCGAACTTGGTGTTCCTTCTTTCACTCGAGTTGAGCCATTTTCAGTCGTATCCTCATCTAAATCTAGCTCCTCATGCTTCACATGGGCTTCATCGGCTGCCTAAACTGATGGAGATTTGTTCAATTCACAGAGTATTCAAATCATCAACATACCTCAGATTTCTTATCATCGTTATCCAACCACCAGAATGGTTTTCGACGATGTTGCCATCCAGGGAAACACTCCTCATTCAATTGATCTATTTCCTTTCTGGAATAAGCACGAATAGGGGAGTGAGTGGGTGTGATATTTAAAGCAGTTTTTCTACCTATATTCATTCTCATGGGAGATAGGCTCCAGCTCTTTGTCATCCTTATGCATCCATTTGATATGCCATTTCACCCTAAAATACTCTCTGTTGACTGCCAGCAAATGTTTTTGCGATCCTTTCGGAGGTTACTTACCTATGTACATCATAATTCGACGCAAAATTGCACAACGGACATTCAAAGATCCGAGTTCGCTGAAGATGCCTATGGTACACATGTCTCTGTCGGTCTGATTGAGCGACCTACAATAAAAACAATTTAAGAAACACAAAGATATGTACAACCAGGCTGGAGGGTGATCCATAAATGACAGGTCAATAGAATAAACTACAGACAAATTAAAACTACTAGTAAATAATGAAACCAAGCAGTGGCAGTCCCTCAAAAACCTTAAAAATTTCCTGGAGAAGGCGCAGGGAAAAGGTCAAAAATGCTTGAAACAAATAGTCGTCTCTTGTTTAAGTAAAATGGTTTTTACGCTACGATACAAGACCATTGGGGTGGGAGGGGAAGATTAAAGGTGAACTTGCTGCTGAAAACCAATGGAAGACAATAGAAGACAACAATAGAGAAAGAGCTTGTAAATGCGGTGTCC